TGGAGTGGAAAATACAGTAGGCAGGTATAAATATACAGCACATGAAAAGATGGGAGTTGCCTTACCAAGTGGGGGATCAGTGCTAATGAGACAATTCAATGAAAGTGGAAGTGGGCTATTCTCAACAGTAGAATACCAAGGGACAAAAAATCACTTTTGTAGCAGTAATGAGGCCAATGTAATCAGGATGGCCTATTTCAAACAATTGACAAGAAGATGTGAGTAACAGCAGGGGGAAATTAGTATGGGGAAATTAGTTTTTGTAGTGATCCATCCATTCCCAGTCTTTATTCAGGCCTAATTTGATGGTGTCCAGTTTGCAAATTAATTCCAGTTCTGCAGTTTCTCGTTGGAGTCTGTTTTTGAAGGTTTCTTTGTTGAAGAATTGCCGCTTTTAAGTCTGTCATTGAGTGTCCAGAGAGACTGAAGTGTTCTCCGACTGGTTTTTGAATGTTATAATTCTTGACATCTGATTTGTGTCCATTTATTCTTTTGCGTAGAAACTGTCTGGGTTGGCCAATGTACATGGCAGAGGGGCATTGCTGGCACATGATGGCATATATCGCATTGGTAGATGTGCAGGTGCACGAGCCCCTGATGGTGTGGCTGAAATGGTTAGGTCCTATGATGGTATCCCTTGAATAGATATGCGGACAGAGATGGCAATGGGGTTTGTTGCAGGGTTAGGTTCCTGGGTTAGTGTTTTTGTTGTGCAACAAACCAAAGCTATGGAGCTAAATCCAGAGCTGAGGGGGAATTTTCTATGAGTAAAAATTGCACAGGCATCTCAGGATTTCATCCACATGTGTTAGGAGTAAAACATCTATTCCTAGAGGAACTAGCTCCTCCCTGAAGAATTGCTCCCTATAATACTATATGTTATCTAGGGGTTGGTACAGGGTATTCCTAATGAAGATCAAGTGTTTGACACAAGTTCCATTAGTTAGAGTGCAAACAAAAATAAAAGCCACTTTTTTCATTTTGAGCCCAGTTACAGAAATTGTTAAGTCCATGACCAGAGCCAGCAGCCTTGTTGTATGTTTGAAAGCTCCCTTGCATATGAAGACTTTTCCACTTGACCAATGCATTCCCTTCAATGAGGCTCTAGTTAATAGGATAATGAAATGCCGCTGGCTAGCATTAGGCTGTAAATTAGCACTGGCTGTTAGGTTGTAATGTGAGAATGTTTCTAGAACTTTCCCTAGCTATCTCAGATACTAGGCTCTTGGGAGCCTATCATGTGCAGGCATTAGTTAAAATCAGGCACCCTGGAATATCAGGGCCACTAAATTCCTATTTCTTTACAGCACTGTGTAATGAAAGAAGTTGTCTGTTGACAAGCACCCATTCTATTCTTGAAAGTGATGCTTTTCCAAGTGCAAGGAAGGATTACTTCTGCTTGGGAAGGAGTTCTGCAAAGTGCTTTCATTTCAGATATATAAAGGCAAAAATCAGAGGTTGCCCGCTAGATGTCTTCTGGCTATGAAAATTGCTTGCACTTTACCAAACTCCCCAGTTCAAGCTGTACCCTGAATCTTTCTCTGCAAAGCCACAATGCTTATAGCCTCTGGCATTATACTGCTGCTGACTGGGTAGACATCCTGTCTCCTAGTGAGGATTACACAGCCCAGCACTCGCTAACCCCCTGTTGGGTAGACACCTCTGTACTAAGGGAGTGAGCTCCCTAATCTGTGGGCAAATGGTACCCACATCACACGCAGGCCTACCTGAGGCCTCTATCTCTTGAACTCTACTCAGTTAAGTTTCACTGAATTGACACATCTCTCTGCCCCATTCCCTGGACTTCCCACGTGGAATGCTCCCCCTCTCCCAGCATCCAGGGACTTGGCCTCTTCCACGCATGCTCACTCGTTCCGCGGACAGTCAACGACAGCTCATTGAACCAGTGGGAGAGATCATTTGGAGAAAAGCCCCGCCTCCTCCAAAACCGTATGTGGAAGAGTCCAGCGCGGGATGTGGAGGGGTGTTTGTCAGTGAACCAGTCCGAACCCTGAAATATGGGCGTGGGGAGGCTGAGACCTTAAAGCCTCGTCTCTATTCTAGCTCCTTCTTCGCTGCTATTTCAGCTCCGTGGGCTTCCGTGGGGCGCCGTGCGTTCCGCCCCCCGCGATCACCATGGTTTGCTCCCCCCTCTCTGACGCTGGTTTGATTTAACCGTCATAGGGGGCGATAAGGTACGTCATCGCGCAGCTGAATGTTCATTGGTTGGGGAGGTAGCCGAGCTGGTCCTGACCATTAGTCCAACTGTCTCTGTGGGGGTGAGGTGCTGATCCCGGCTGCGCTAGGGCTGGCGGGGCCTCGCGGGTCGCGCTAGGGAGGCGGGGGCCGGGAAGGAGACA